CATTCATTCATTCATCCATCTACCCACCCATCCACCACATTCATCCATCCATCCATTCATCTACCCACCCATTCATCCATCCATTAATCCATCCATCCTTCCACTCATCCACCCATCCACCTACCCACACATCCATCCACCCATCCATCCATTCATCCACCCACTCACTCATCCAGATATCCACCCATTCACCCACCCACCCACCATCCACCTATTCACCCACCGATCTATCCACCCAAAATACATTCATCAATCCACCCACTCATACATCCATCCACCTACCCAACCACACATTTATCTATCCATCTACTCATCTGTCTACCCACCCATTCATCCATCCACTAATTCATCCATCCATGTATCCACCCACACCCATCCATCCACTCATCCATCTAGTCACACATTCATCAACCCATTAATCCATCCATCCATCCATCCTTCCACTCATCCACCCATCAACCTACCCACACATCCATCTGCCCATCCATTCATCCACCCACTCTGTCATCCAGATATCCACTCATTCACCCACTCACCATCCATCCATCTACCCACATCTATCCACCCACAATTCATTCATCAAGCCACCCACCCATACATCCACCCATCATTCATCCACCAATCCATCCATCCACCCACCCATCCACTCATTCATCCATCCATGCACTCATCCAGCCCCCCACCCATCCATCCATCCACTCACCCATCCAGTCATTCATCCATCCATCCACTCATCCAGCCACCCACCCATCCATCCATCCACCCACCCATCCACTCATTCATCCATCCATCCACTCATCCAGCCACCCACCCATCCATCCATCCACTCATCCATCTACCCACCCATTCATCTATCCATGAATCCATCCATCTATCCTTCCACTTCTTCACCCATCCACCCCACCACCACATCCATCCACCCATCCATTCATCCATCAATCCACCTACTCATCCATCCACCCATTATCCATCTACCATCATCTATCTACCCATCCATCCACCCATCTATCCAATCATTTATCCATCCATCTACCCATCCATCCATCTACTCAGCCATTCATCCATCCATCCATCCATCCACTCATCCTCCACCCATCCATCCATCCATCCACCTATCAATTCATCCATCTACCCATCCATTCATCTCTCCATCCACCCATCTATTCACACACTCATCTATACACCCACAGTCCATCCACCAATCCAGCCGCCCACCCATCTACCCATCCAAACGAACACCCACCCACTTACCAATCCATTCACCTATCCATCCATCCACCTACCATCCATTCATCCACTCAACCATCCACCCACCCACCTATCCATTCACCCATTCATCCACCCATCCACCCATCCACCTACCTATCTACCATTCACCCATACACCCACCATACACCCATCCATCCATCCACACACCTATCCATCCATCCACCCATTCATCCACAAACCCTTCCATCCATCCACCCATACTTCCCCATCTGTCCACCCACCCATCCATCCACTTGTTAGGTTCAAAGCACTGTTTTAAGCACTGGTGACACTGCAGTAAACACAAGGTGGGAATCTCTTTGCTAGTGAGGCTTACAGTCTATTAGGAAGGAGACAAAGCAAATAAAACCAAAAGGGATTTCTACGGTATGTTCCAGGTCATTTTCACAGGAAAAAAAAAGAGAAAGAAAGCAGGGAAGAGGAATGTGGAGCCCTGAGTGGCTAAATTACAGATCCTGCCTTCACTGGGGCCTCACAGAAAAGGTGAAGCTTATAGACGACAAAGGAAGGAGGTACGTGAGGAGCTATCTGAGGGAAGAACAATTTATGCAGAGGGCACAGCCCATGCAAAGGCCCTGGGGCAGGACGGTGCCTCGCCTGTTGGAGGAACAGCGAGGAGGCCCATGTGGCTGCAGCAGAGTGAGCGAGGAGGAGAGAGGGCGCGGGGGACAGTAGGAAGGGGATGGGGCAGGTCCTGCAGGACCTTAAGCCTCGGGGAGGACTTGGGCTTTGACTGTAAGGGAGGTGGGAGCTATGGAGGGCTATAGGCAGAGAAGGGATGGGCCCTGACTCATGCTCACAGGCACTCTCTGATGGGTGCTGCAGGGAGAACAGACTGTGGGATGCGAGGGTGGGAGCCAGGGACCAGGGTATGGAGGGGACTGTACTGGTCCAGGTGAGGGATGAAGGGGCTGGACCAGGTGAAGGCAGAGGAGAGAGAAGGGGCAGATTCTAGAGAGGTTTGAAGGCAGAGCTCTCAGATTCTGCTGATGGAGGGGTAGAAGGTGCGGTTGTTGTCACGAGGGAGGGAAGTCAAGGGCATTGTCAGGTTTTGTCCTAAGCACCTTCAGGCCTTGCCCCCAGGACACTTCACTCACTGTGCATCAATTGCCCAAGCCAGGTCATTGGTGTGCCCTGGACCAGGGTTTCTCAGCCTCCACACTGTGGATGCTTGGAGCTAAATCATCTGTCACCCTGGGCACCCATTCATCCACCCATTCATCCATCCTCCCATCCATCCACCCACCCATCCTTCTATCCACTCATCCATCCACCCACCCATCCATCCATCCACCCATCCTTACATCCATCCACTCATCCACCCACCCACCCATCTATCCACCCATCCACCCATCTATCCATCCGCCTATTCATCCATCCATCCACTCATCCATCCATCCACTCATCCACCCATCTATCTACCCATCCATCTATCCACCCATCTATCCATCCGCATATTCATCCATCCATCCACCCACCCATCCTTCTATCCACTCATCCATCCACCCACCCATCCATCCATCCACCCATTCATACATCCACTAATCCATCCATCCACTCATCCACCCACCCACCCATCTATCTACCCATCCACTAATCCACCCATCTATCCATCCGCTATCCATCCATCCACTCATCCACCCACCCACCTACCCATCCATCTACCCATCCATCCATCCACTTCTCCACCCACCCACCCATCTATCCACCCATCCACTTATCCACCCATCCATCCATCTATCCATCCGCCTATTCATCCATCCACTCATCCATCCACCCACCTACCCATCCATCTACCTATCCATCCATCCACTCATCCACCCATTCACCCATCCATCCATCCGCCCATTCATACATCCACTCATCCATCCATCCACTCATCCACCCATCCATCTACCCATCCATCCATCCACTCATCCACGCACCCACCCATCTATCCACCCATCCACTCATCCACCCATCCACCCATCTATCCATCCACCTATTCATCCATCCACTCATCCATCCATCCATCCACTCATCCATCCATCCATCCACTCAGCCATCCACCCACCCATCCATCCATCCGCCCATTCATCCATCCGCTGGAGGTACCGAGCGAGATTCCTGGCCTCCACCCACTCGACACTACTCGCCGCCAGGAGCACCCCCCAATCACGACAACCACAAATGCCTGCAGACATTGCCAAGTGTCCTAGAATAACCCCCATTGAGAAGCACATCACGGCTGGTCACGGTGGCTCACACCTATGATCCCAATGCTGTGGGAGGTTGAGGTGGGAAGATTGCTTGAGCCCAGGAGTTCGAGACCAGTCTTAGCCTTAGCAACATAGTGAGACCCCGAGAGAGAGAGAGAGAGAGAGAGAGAGAGAGAGAGAGAGAGAGAGAGAGAGAGAGAGAGAGACTCCTAGCTCTGCTAGAGATTCCCCCTCTGGTCCTTCCCCCGAGCAGGTGCTCAGGGACAAGAATGCAGATCCTCTTGGATATAAAGACCCCGCCCTCAAAGGCTGCTGGGAGAAGGTGAGGGCATTCAGGGGTCTGCTCCACTCAATCTTCCAGCTGCCTCCAGGTACTGCCACCTTCAGGAGCTCCTCAGAAAAGCCAGGCACAAGCCTAGTGGCAGAAGCTTCCTGACACATTCTAGGGCCTTCTGTGCCTTAGTTTCCCCATCTAAAAATGGAGGATCCCGAATCCACATTATCCAGACTCTGAGCTCCCTAAGAGACCCTATCCCTCCCCTGCCACCAGTCTCCACGGCTCACCTCTCTTGGGGTGAAAGCCAAAGTCCTTCCAAGACACACAGGACCTGCTCAACAACCTGCCCCGCTCCTCTCCTGCCGCCCCTCCCTCCCTCCCCCTCCTCACTCTGCTCCAGCCACAAGGGCCTCCTTGATGTTCCTCCAACACGTCAGGTGCGGTCCTGCCCCAGGGCCTTTGCAGGGGCTGTTCCCGCTGCCTGGAACGCTTTTCCCTTGGTTTTAGAATATCAGCCTTCCCATCTGTCATTCAGGTCTCATCTCAAAGGTCACTGGCCCCCAAGGCAAGCTGTCATCTCCCGAAACACATCTTCAGTTTTTCACGGCAACTCACCTATCTCAAGTTCATGTATTTGTTTCGTAGTTCACTGTCAGTCTCTCCTACCCCTGCATTGCTCTATGTCCTCAAGGCTCACTCAAAGGCTGGCACATAATAGAGACTTAATAAAGTCCTCGCCTTTTTAAATTTTGAGACAGGGTCTCGCTGTTTTCCAGATTAGAGTGTAGTGGCATAATCGTGGTTCACTGCAGCCTCCACCTTCCCAGCCTCCAGCCATCCTCTCTCCTCAGCCTCCCAAGTAGCTAGGAGGACTAAAGGTGCATGACGCCATGTGCAGATTTTTTAAATTTATTTTTTATAGAGAAGGGGTCCTGCTATGTTGCCCAGGCTGGTCTGGAACTCTTGGGCTCAAGCAATCCCTCCGCCTCAACCTCCCAAAGTGCTGGGATGACAGGCATGAGGCAACGCAGCCAGGCTGTTGACTATTTTGACTGCCTGCCCATTTACGGAGAACACCTACAATATCCAAGACATGATTCAGGTTAACTCCATGAATCACACCATATGTTTTTTTTTTTTTTTTTTTTTTCCTTAGAGACACGGTCTCACTCTGTCACCCAGGCTGGAATGCAGAAGTGCAATCATAGCTCACTGTGACCTCAACCTCCTGTGACCAAAGCAATCCTCCCCCCTCAGCCTCCTGAGTGGCTGGGGCTACAGTGCTCACCACCACACCCGCGTAAAGTTTTTTATTTTTTGTAGAGCTGGGTCTTGCTGTGTTGCTCAGACTGGTCTTGAACTCCTGGGCTCAAGGGATTCTCCCAAAGCACTGGGATTACAGGTGTGAGCTACCACGCCTGGGCCACATCATATAAGTTAATCCAATTTTGACAACCGCTCTGTGGGCTAGCTATCTGTATTCTTTCTCTTTTATAAAGTAACTACAGTTCGGAAGAGATGAGGTGGCTTTTCCAGGATTACACAGAAATAAAAAATGGAGCCAGGATTAGAACCGAGCCTGTCTGAGATCAAAGGTTATGATCATTCCCATTCGCAGGTGAGGAGGAAGGTAGTAAATGCTGAGGAAGCATCCTTTCATCCTTCACTCTACCCATCTTCTATCTATCACCCATCCATCCATCCATCCATCCATCCACCCATCCATCCACCCATCCATGCACCCACCCTTCCACCTAGTATTCCATCCACCAGTTACCCATCCATCCATCAATTTCTCCATCTACCCATCATCCATCCATCTATTCATCCACTCATTGACCCACCAGCTCATCCACCCATCCATCTATCTGCCCATCATCCATCCACCCACCCATCCACCAAATATCCACCAATCTATTCATCTGCTCATCCGTCCATCCACCCACCTACTCATCCATCCACCCAATCCATCCATCCATCCATTCATCTACCATCCATCCATTCACCACCCCCCATTCATCCACCTGTCCATCCACCCACCTATCCATCCATCTATCCATCTATCCATCCATCCATTCATCCATCCATTCACTCATCTATCCATCTATCCATCCATCCATCCATCCATCCACTCATTAAACCACCAATCCATCCACCTACCCATCCATCTGCCCATCCATCCACCCATCCATTCATTCACCCACCCACTCATCCATCTACCCAATCCATCCATCCATCCATTCATCAATCTACTATCCATCCATTCTCCCACCCACCCATCCATCCACCTGTCCATCCATACACCTATCCATCTATCTACCCATTTATCCATCCATCTATAAATCCATTCATTCATCCATCGATTCATTCATCTATCCATCCATCCATCCATCCATCCACTTATTAAACCACCAATCCATCCAACTACCCATCCATCTACCCATCATCCATCCATCCATCCATCCATCCATCTACTCATTAAAACATCCATCTATAAATCCATTCATCCATCCGTCGATTCACTCATCTATCCATCCATCCATCCATCCATCCATCCATCCATCCATCCACTTATTAAACCACCATCCATCCACCTACCCATCCATCTACCCATCTATCCATCCATCCATCCATCCATCTATCTACTCATTAAACCACCAATCCATCCACCTATCCATCCATCTACCCATCTATTCATCCATCCATCCATAAATCCATTCATCCGCCCATCCATCCATCCACCCATCCATCCATCCACCATCCATCCATCCATCCACCCATCCATCCATCCATCCATCCATAAATCCATTCATCTGCCCATCCATCCATTCATCCATCCATCCATCCACCTACCCATCTATCTGCCCATCCATCCATCCATCCATTCACCCACCACCCATTATCCATCAATCTATTCATCCACCCACCCATTCATTCACCCACCCACTCGTCCATCTACCCAATCCATCCATCTATCCATTCATCAATCTACTATCCATCCATTCTCCCACCCACCCATCCATTCGCCTGTCTATTCATATACCCATCTATCCACCCATCTACAAATCCATCCATCCATACCCATACATCATCTATCTATAAATCCATTCATCATTCATCCACCCACCCATCCATCCATCCATCCACCATCCACCCATCAGTTCATTCAAACCTTCCACTTACCTACCCACTTTTCTATCCATCAAAGCCACGCATACCTAGCGTCACTGCCACCCACTCATCCACCCACCCACCCACCATCCACCCATCAGTTCATTCATCCATCCACTCACCCACCCACCCACGTCTGCACCCACTGATTCATTCATCCACCTCTCCATCCCTCCGTTAGCCAGCCCATCCCCACATCTTCTCATGTCCTCGTGTCCTTGTTCATCCACAAGCTCACTTCCAAATGGCCAACGGGACACAGTGTCTGCCCTTCTAGAGCTTACACATCGCTGATGTCGACTACGACCCTGGACCAAGTGAACTCCTAGGTCAGTGTCTTCCAGACCCGACAGCCTCTCCCTTTGGCCCTGGTCATCCTAAGTTCAAGGACAGCGGGCCTCCCTGGTTGGCTCTGACTCTCGTCTGTTTCCAAAATCATGTTTCTTTCTCTCCTTCCAGAGCGGGGCAAGGCTCAGGCTGGGAGGTGTGAAGCCCAGGTGTTCTGCTGTATGGCTTGGGCTGGGTGTTGCCCCTCTCTGGGCTCCAGTCTCCTCCTGTGGTTCATATGGAGGAGGGGAGCTTGGTTCTCTAGGAGCCAATAGAATCGGAACACACATCTGCTTCTTTGTATCTCCCTCCTCCCACACTGTGGGCCTCACCCCACTGGAAGCTTCTATTTTGTCCATCCAGGTGTGAAGGAAATGAGCATATTTTGAGCAAGGCTGGGACGCTGGGAAGAGGCTGGTGATGGCAATGGCAGTGCTTCCCAAACAGGTCTGCCCGAATCCCTCCCCGCTCTAAAGTCTTCCATGGCTCCCCAGTGCCCTCAGGAAACAGTCCAAGCTCAGTCCAGCATCAGAGGCTTTCCTGGTCCAGCCCGTGCTGACTCTCCAGCCTCATCTCCCAGGCCTCGCCTAATCCCTCCTCTACCCAGCTATGCAGTCTTCACACCTCCAGGCCTTCCCAGATCAGTTCCCCCTCCCTGTATCCAGAAAGTCAAGACATTTACCTATCTTGTTCACTGCTGTGTTTCATGCCCATCATAGGGCCTGGAACACAGTAAGTATTTCTGTGAATGCATAAATAAAATGCTTTCTCCACCTGGAAAGCTCCTATCCATCCATCCAAGCCCCATTTCTGATGCCCCTCCTCCAGGCAGAGCTCCCGCTTCATTATCCAGTTTCTTCAAACTCCCTCCCTCTGACCTACCCCAGACTACTGGACTATAGGTGCCAACGTCCGGCTCTGACCTCAGACCTCTCTTGCTCAGCATGAGGTGAGGCCCCAAAAGGTTTTCAAGAAGTGTTACGTGGGTGAAGAATGAATGAATGAATGAATGAATGAGTGTGGTCCTACAGGTGTTTCCACTTGCCAATTTGAGGGGTGAAAGAGAGAAACAGAAGCCCACTTCAGAGAGAACCCCCTGGGTCCAGCCCCAGGCTAGGACCCCTGGGAAGAGCCCCAACAGGTGAGCCCCATAGAAGACAGGGACCCTGGGGCTTCCAAGGCCCTCTGCTTCGTTCCTACCCGGGCAAACACTGCATCCTGCCCGCAGCTGGGCCCCTGAACATCCCCAGGAACACCTCTCCCCAGCAAGGCATCCTCCTCTGGCCTCGGGGCTCAGCGTAGTCATGTAATAAGCCTGCTCCCACTGACCAAGCACATAGTGTGCCCGGCCCCATGCCGAGAGCCTCCCTGCCGCTTCTCCTTTCTCCTCCCTGGTTTCCTCTGAAACAGGAAGACGCACTCCAGCTTGGAGGGATGAATACACCTGCCCAAGGCCACAAGATGCAGAGAAACCAGACTCATCTCAACTGCAAGCTCTCAACTACTCTTGTACACTAAATTCCTCCTCCTCCAGGCAGCCCTCCTGGTTTCCACTCCTGCAGGGGCAGGGCCCTCCGCTGGGCTGTCACTGCTGGTGTGTGTTTTGCCATCACATCCCTGAGCTCCATGGCTTGTAAGCTCAGGTCCTCAGCTGTCTCCCTCCCTTAAACTGGAATCTGGTGGGAGGGGAGGTCTGGGTGGGGGTAGGGATGGCAGATTTTATCTGTTTTGCCCAACCCAGTAGCCCAGGGTCTAGAACCGGGCCTGGTACACAGCAAGCGCTCAATAAATGTTGCTTATCCAGGGGGACGGATTCACATCTAGCCCACCCCATCATGAATCCCGTAATGAATTCTGTTCACATCAGATGCCCAGCTCTGCACAAATGCTGGAATACAGTAGGCGTTCAATAAATGTTCTGTGCCTGAAGCAGCGGAGGGAGAGGTGCAGAAACGATGTCACAGTCACAGGTGTGAGGCTCCCGGGCCTCATGAAAGACTGTTAAATAAACGAGAAGACGGGCAGCAGGGGAAAACGAGGCACGGAGAGGGGCGTGCCCAGTCTGAAGCCACACACCACCCCAGCAGGGGTCCTTCCCAGGTGCGCACACGCCGGCCAACCCTGCCGGCCGCCTCCAGCCCCCTGCTGCTGTCCCCGCCGCCACCAGGAGCGCCAACTGCTCCCGCGGTCCCCCCGCCAGGCCGCCCAGCCCGCCTTCTCCCCGGGGCTGGTGCGTCACACGCGGAATCTCACGCCTCAGAGCTCAGACTGCCACAGCCTCCTCCTCCCCCCACCCCGCCCCAGCCGAGCTGGCAGCTGGTGCTCCCATGGAAACCGCGGGCCCCCACCCGGGCCCCCGCTGGGCCCCCCCCACCTACACCGTCCCCCAGCGCAACCTCCGCTTTAAGACAAACATGGTCATTAACATGCAAATGTATATGCCATTACCATAAACGGGGGCCCCAGTGGCAGCGGCGGACCAGCACCACCGCGGGCACCTTCCCCTGGCAGGGTGGGCACCCAGGCAGCCACCATCCAGAGATAGGGGCAGCCGAAGCTCCAGTGTGGCCTCCCTTGGAGTGAGGGTCCCCGGGGCAGGAAACTGCAGGGGAACCAGTGGGAGCCCCCATCCCAGCCTCCAGTTCCTGGCCTGACCCCCGGCCTGGGGTAGGGGGGTCCTTCCTGGGGGAGACCCCCTCTCTCTGGATGAGGAGGTCTGGCAGGAGCAGCTTGTGGGCTCCCTGTGGTCCTCCATCTCTCTGCAGCCCCCTCCTTCTCTGGGTCCTCACCTCTCTCACTCTCTCTTAAAAGCAAATCCAGCACCCCAAGGCCTGCCCTCTTTGGGGGGACCACCTGGCTGCCGCCCTGTCCCCGTACCCCTGCCCCACTCCTGGACAAGGCCTCCCGCCTTTCTCTGGGTCTCAGCTTGGCCTCTAGGAATCCGGCTGCTCCCACGCCGCCTTCAGGCAGGCCAGCTGTGGCTGTCAGGTGTCACGGGCCCCTCCGTCCCCAGCACCATCTTTGGGGTCCCACTCTCAGCTTCGGGGAACCTGTCACCCCTATGTCACACAGATATAGGCATGGGTGCTCCCCCGGCCTGGGAGGAAGGCAGGGAGGAAATGCGGGCCTAGCTGTGGTCAGACTGGGACCCAGGATGTGTCTCTCCAGTCCTCAGTTTCCCAGAAATGCGCTGTCACTCCGGAGCCCACCTCCACCTTCCATGAGGACATCAAACAAGGCCCTGCCATGTGGAGGCCAAGGAAGGGCAGAAGCTGGTGCCAGCTGACCCACCCCCCGGCTTGTGCCAGGAGCCCGTGCCCCTCCAGGACGTTCTCATCCCACCCCAGCCTACTCCTTACAGATCTCTTGTGCCCAGTCCCACGGGCCCTGCCAGCATCCGAAAGGGATTTCTCTCCAGGCCTGAGGTCCACACCCCCACGGCGCTGCCTCTCTGAAGAGGCACATTCTACCACACCAGGGTTCCCAGAAACAAGGCCCTAGTAAGGTCAGTGTTGGTGGCAGGTGTCTCAACTCACTCCTTTCCCTAAGAATCCTGACTTCCCACTCACCATTCCATCTCCCTTTGGCCAAGGCCCAGAGAGGGCAGTCAGTAACCAGGAGCCACACAGCTGAGCCCCAAACGCAAGCCTGGATCAGAGATGCTGATTCTGCAGACACCCCCACCTCCTCCGTTCCCCTCACCGCTTCGTGCCAAGCACCCACGGGCAAAGCCCAGGTAAAGTCCAGCCAGGCCCCGCACAGGCGGGGGATTCACTGGCCCGAGGGTACCGGGGGGGCTGCACCCATTTTCAACACCAGAGAAAGCCCCTGTATCTCACACACTGACAGACCCAGGACCCCTAAAACGCGGAGGGCGATCGCCAGCTGTCATGGACATGGCCTCTCAATTCTCACCCTCCTAGGAAAGCCCGAAGATGGGAAATACCCCTGAGGCATCCCAGGGACCTCAACTTTGTCCAACCTGTAAAAAACCACTGGGCTGGCGCCATGGCCCTGCTGTCGACAGCAGGGAAACTGAGGCTCAGGACCGGGTGAAAACCCAGCCCCAGCCCCTCCCTCACCCCTCACCTCTCCCTTGTCCAGATTTCCCAGAGATTTAAAAATAAGAAGAAGAATTCACCAGGGTTCTCCAATCCCTGCACCCCCATCTGTCTCTCCAAACTAGAGCTCAACCAGCAGGCTTTCAATGCAACCTTTTGGGGGGCCACGTGGACTCCCCCATCCCACGGGAATCTTTCTAGAAATGGGTGTTTCCAGTATGCCAGGGGGTAGGGGCGTGTGGGAAAAGCCCACCTATCACCTCTGGACCCCAGAGATTGAGTTCCGGGGGCTGCATGGGAGCCCCTCTGCCCTCCTAGGCCACACGGAGGAGTTAGATTTTTCAGGCCCAATTTTTTTTTTTTTTTGTGATGGTTGGTTTTGAAAAGAGATGGGGAATGGGGAGGGGTTTCTTTCCTCTCCCTTAAGATACCAGCTGGAGGGTCTAGCTGGAGTGACAGGCCTGGGCTCCATCTCACCAGACCCTCCCTAGGGCCTGCTTGAACCCATCATTCATTCATTCATTCATTCAATAAACATGCATTCATGCTTACCCGGCGCAGTGCTGGGGGAAAAGTGGGTCTAAAATAGGTCATGGGCCCCGGTCGGTCCCCAAGGCCTCTCAGGGTCTTCCTGGAGGATGGGGGGGACTGGGGGTGTCCAGGACGAAGCCTCTGAAGTGCCCACCCCCAGCCCCCAACACCTGATGGGAAGGCTGTCAAAGCCACCCCAGTTCGGACGCTGGGCCCATGGTGGGAACCAAGGGCTGGGGACACAATCGCTGGACACCCCCATCCGCGATGCCAGGGAGGGAGAATCCGGCGGGAGGGGGGCAGACAGGCCTGAGGCCGCCCACGCCTCCGTCCTCCTCCCCGTCCACCCCAGGATTTGGGCTCTGCCCAGATGGACACGTCCAAGCTCATTGTCTTGGGCCTGAGACCCCAACACATTGCTAAGAGGCTCGGCCAGTTTCAACTTGAGCCCAAGGTGGAGGCGGGGGAGGGGGAGGGCAGAGAAATGGAGGAGAGAATGCTGATCCTAGCGGGGTGGTGGGGCCAGAGGGTGGGCGGCAGACACGGGGAGCCTCTCCGTCACCCCAGGCGAGGCCAGGCGCGTCCCCCCAAGCCGGGCGCCCCCAATCCGTCTTTCTTTGTAGTTACCGATCAGCCTGGGGTCCTGGGCATCCGTGTCCCCCGCGGCCAGACCTGCCCCGCCGGCCCGGCTTTGTGAAAACAACCAGAGCAATGGAGTCCGCAGGTGCAAACTTCCCCGACGGGGCCTGGGGAAGCTGAATGAATGGGGGGGGGGGGGTGGGCAGGGAGGGGTGCCGGGGTTCCCGAGGCTCCCCTGGCAAACGGGCAGGAAAGAGTGGGTGAGGGAGGGAGGAAGGGGTGGGGGTCTGGGGGATGGAAGGGTGAGGGAGGGAGGGAGGGAGAGAGAGGGTGCTGTGGGGGGAAGGATGGGAGGTCGAGGGAGATGGGAGAGAAGAGAAAAGGAGAGAGAGGGAGAGAGAGAGGGAGAGAGAGAGAGAGAGAGGAGATGCCGGAAGGTGGGGAGGGAGGGAGAGGGGGCGGAGGAGGGGAGGGGGCCCGCTCGGATCTGTCAGCTGCACCCCCAGAGGGGGGAGGAGGGGGTGGGTGGGAGGGAGGGGGTAGGAGCCGAGGCTCCGGCAGAGGCAGGCAGAGGAGGGAGGTGAGCAGGAGGGATGGGGACGGGGACGGGGACGGGGACGGGGATGGGGACGGGACGGGGATGGGGATGGGGACAGGGATGGGGACAGGGATGGGGATGGGGACGGGGACAGGGATGGGGACGGGGATGGGGATGGGGATGGGGACGGGGATGGGGATGGGGACGGGGATGGGGACGGGGACAGGGATGGGGACGGGGATGGGGACAGGGATGGGGACGGGGACAGGGATGGGGGCAGGGATGGGGACAGGGATGGGGACAGGGATGGGGACAGGGATGGGGATGGGGACGGGGACGGGGACGGGGATGGGGACGGGGACGGGGACAGGGACGGGGACGGGGAGATGCCGGAGCGTGGGTGGGGGCGGGGAGGGGCCGGGCGCCCACCTTTGTGCATCCCCGTGTAGGGGTCTTTGAGCACCGTGAGCTCGTAGATGCGGCCGAACTGCTCGAAGAGCGGCTTGAGGTCCTTCTCGTCCAGGTGGCGCGGGATCTGGCCCACGAAGAGTTTGATGGCGTCCAGGTCCTTCATGCCGTCGGGCTGCACCCCGGGGGGCTCGGGGCCGCTGCTGCCCACGGGCGAGGGCCGCGGCTGGAGGAGCTGCTGCTGCTGCCGGCGCGCCTCGCTCTCCGTCAGGCGGGCCATGGCGGGCGCGGGACCGAGCCGGCGGCGGGAGGACTCGCAGCTGGAGCGGCGGCCGCGCCTCCCGCCTCCCTCCCGGGCCCCCGCGCCCTCCTCCCGCCCGCGCCCGCCCCGGCAGCGGGACCACAAAGGCGGCTCCGCAGCGGCCCCTGGCGGCCGCGCCGCGCGCATCCCCGCTCCCCCCACCACCACCGCCCCCCCCAACGCCGGGCCGCGCGGGGAAACTGAGGCCGGCGGGCCCGGGCGCCGCCTACGGGTGGGCGAGGGCGGAACTGCGAGCGGGGACCGGGCCTCAGCCGGCTTCCCGGGACGTGGGCGGGGACTCGCCGGCGCCCGTGAAGGGCAGGAAAATGTCACAGGTCGCCGGGGGGGGGGGTTCCGTGGGGGGGCCTTGCGCATAGAAAGCGCCCCAGACCCTTTAAGTGGGTGACTCATCAATGGTGTTAATAACACTAATAATAGGGCCGGGCGCGGTGGCTCACGCCTGTCATCCCAGCACTGTGGGGGGGGTCACAAGGTCAGGAGTTCGAGACCAGCCTGGCCAACATGGTGAAACCCCCCCCCCCCCCCCCCGTCTCTACTAAAACCACAAAAATGAGCCGGGCGTGGTGGCGAGCGCCTGTCATCCCAGCTACTCGGGAGACTGAGGCAGGAGAATCGCTTGAACTCGGGAGGCTGAGGTTGCGGTGAGCCGAGATCGCACCACTGCACTCCAGCCTGGGTGACAAGAGCAAAACTCCGTCTCAAAATAATAATAATAATAATAACGCTAATAATGATGAATCAACGGCAAGAGGGAGAGAGTCCCCACTATTCACGACAGCACAGGAGAACGCTAAAAGTGTCTTCCAGTTCTATAGGGTGCTTACGCATAGTGTCCTTGGCCCGTCAGTAATGTCACCAACGGGAAGGAATGCTGGCGCTCACTCATCATAACAGGACAGGAGAAACGCTGGCAGTATCTCTCCCAGCTCTCGAGTGCCCGTGACCCTGCATGTATGAAACGCACCGAAATATTAATAATAACGATAATAAGGGCTGGGTGCGCCGGTTCACACCTGTAATCCCAGCACTGCGGGAAGCAGAGGCAGGAGGACCATCTGAGCGCAGGAGCTGGAGACTGGCCTGGGCAACACAGCGAGACCCCATCGCTACAAAAAATAAAAAAAGCATTAGCCAGGCGTGGTTGATGTGCACCTTCGGTCCCAGCTACTCGGAGGCTGAGACAGGAGCATCTCTTGAACCCGGGGAGACTGGGGCTGCAGTGAGCCATGATCGCATCACTGCCTCTGGTCTGGGCGACAGAGTAAAATCTTGTCTCAAAAAAACAAAAACAAAAACAAAAAAAACACTTTTTTTCTCTTTTTTTAGATGGAGTCTCTCTCCATCACCCAGGCTGAAGTTCAGTGGTGTGATCTTGGCTCACTGCAACCTCCCCCTTTCAGGTTCCTCCTGCCTCAGCCTCCTGAGTAGCTGGGATTACAGGTACACTCCGCCACACCCAGCTAATGTAAAATTTTATTTATGTGTTTATTTGTTTTTGAGACAGAGTCTCGCTCTTTCACCCAGGCTGGAGCGCAGTGGTGCGATCTCGGCTCACTGCAACCTCCGCCTCCCAGGTTCAAGCGATTCTCCTGCCTCCTGAGTAGCTGGGATTACGAGCCCGCCACCACACCCAGCTAATTTTGTATTTTTAATAGATATGGGGTTTCACCGTGTTGGTCAGGCTGGTCTCAAACTCCTGACCTCAGCCACTCAAAGTGCTGGAGTGAGAGGTGTCAGCCAAAGCACCCGGCCTAAAATTTAATTTTTATTTATTTATTTAATTTTTGAGACAGGCTCTTGCTCTGGAGCCCAGGCTGGAGTTCAGTGGGGCAATCTCAGCGCACCGCAACCTCCGTCTCCTGGATTCAAGTACTTAATTCTCATGCCTCAGCCTCCTGAGTAGCTGAGATTACAGGCACCTGCTGCCACACCTGGCTACTTTAAATTTTTATTATTTATTTATTTATTGAGATGGAGTTTCGCTCTTGTTACCCAGGCTGGAGTGCAATGGCGCGATCTCGGGTCACCACAACCTCCCCCTCCTGGGTTCAAGCGATTCTCCTGCCTCAGCTTCCGGAGTAGCTGGGACTACAGGCACGTGCCACCATGCCCAGCTAATTTTTTGTATTTTTAGTAGAGACGGGGTTTCACCATGTTGACCAGGATGGTCTCAATCTCTTGACCTCGTGATCCACCCGCCTCGGCCTCCCAAAGTGCTGGGATTACAGGCGTGAGCCACGGCGCCCGGCCTAAATTTTTATTTTTTATATAGATTTTTGAGACAAGGTCTGGCTCTGTCGCCCAGGCTAGAGTGTGGTGGCATGATCATAGCTCTCTGCAGCCTTGATCTCCTGGGCTAAAGCAATCCTCCCGCCTCAGCCTCCCGAGCAACAGATGTGCACACCACCGTGCCTGGCTAATTTTTAATTTTTTTTGTACAGATGGGGTCTTGCTATGTTGTCCAGGCTAGATCCAAATTTCTGGGCTCAAGCGATCCTCCCGCCTCGGCCTCCCAGAGTGCTAGGATGACAGGCGTGAGCCACCGCACCAGGCTTTAAGGAACATTTTGCGGTCCGTCCAGCCAATGGAATGTGACTCAGCCGTGAAAAACGATGGGACTCTGACCCAGGCCCTAGTGGAGAGGCACCTTGGGAACACCCTGCTCGGCGAGAGGCGCCAGACGCAGAAGACCACACCGCGTGTGATGCCATTTGTATGAAACCCCCACCCGACTTAGAGGGGAAACTGGGGTCCAGAGAGCTTAAGTGGCTGGTGTAAGATCACACGGTAGGAGAGCTGGGATTTGAACCCGGCATCCAGACTCTGGAGCACACACACCTCCCCCCCCGTCCCCTCCCATCTCCCCACGCAGCAGGCAGCTGAGCCTCAGTTTCCTTATTTGCCAAGCACGACCAAAGAGAGGGGAGAGGGGCCAGGTGCGGTGGCTCACGCCTGTAATCCCAGCACTTTGGGAGGCCGAGGCCGACAGATCACCTGAGGTCGGGAGTTCGAGACCATCCTAGCCAACATGGCGAAACCCCGTCTCTACCAAAAAATACAAAACTAGCCGGGCGTGGTGGTGCACACCTGTAATCCCAGCTACTCGGGAGGCTGAGGCAGGAGAATTGCTTGAAACTGGCAGGTGGAGGTTGCGGTGAGCAGAGAGTGCCCCATTGCACTCCAGCCTGGGCAACAAGAGCGAAACTCCGTCTCAAAAAAAAAAGAAATAGAAAATTAGCCGGGCATGGTGGCGCACACCTGTAATCCCAGCTACTCGGGAGGCTGAGGCAGGAGAATTCCTTAAACCTGGGGGGTGGAGGTTGCAGTGAGCCGAGATTGTGCCGCTGCACTCCAGCCTGGACGACAGAGCGAGACTCCCTCATCTCAAAAAAAAAAAAAAAAGCTGAAAAAGAAAAAGAGGATATGGTGAAGGCCCTGGTCTGGTGTGGCTTCGGGAGCTAAAATGTGGTCTTAGCACAGTGCCTGGGAGCTCCTAGCACTCAGTGAATGGATATTTGTCACTGCTGTTCCTGGCAGCCTCCTGGCCGCCCCCGGATGGAACAGAACATCAGGGCTGGGCGAGGGGTCAGGAGTCCTCCCACAACATCCTGCTCCTCGGCCCAGAACACACCCAGGTGGTTAGGCTCAGCTGAGGCTTGGCCGGGCCCAGCGTGGCACGGGGGGCTGGTGGAGTCAGCCAGGAGACACACGCTCCGTCTCCATGGAGACTCAAGCAGGATGCTGGGAGCCCTGAGCACCTCCAGCGTTCCGGGAGAGTCCTTAATAAGAATTTAAAAAATCAGCCGGGTGCGGTGGCTCACACCTGTAATCCCAGCACTGTGGGAGGCCGAGGCGGGTGGATCACGAGGTCAACAGATCGAGACCATCCTGGTCAACATGGTGAAACCCCGTCTCTACTAAAAATACAAAAGTTAGCTGGGCATGGTGGCACGTGCCTGTAATCCCAGCTACTCAGGAGGCTGAGGCAGGAGAATTGCCTGAACCCGGGAGGTGGAGTTTGCAGTGAGCCAAGATCGAGCCACTGCATTCCAGCCTGGGTGACAGAGCACAGAGCAAGGCTTTGTCTCAAAAAATGAAAAAAAAAAAAAAAAAAAATCTCGCCCGCAATTCCAGCACTTTGGGAAACCGAGGCGGGAGGACTGCTTGAACCCAGGAGCTCCAGATTAGCCTAAACTGTAACATAGCAAGACCCCATTTCTACAAAAAAAAAAAACCCACAAAAATTAGCCAGTTGTGATGGCGTGCTCCTGTGGTCCCAGCTACTCGGGAGGCTGAGGTGGGAGGATCGCCTGAGCCCAGGAGGTCAAGGCTTCAGTGAGCTGAGATTGCAGCTCCAGCCTGGGCAACGAGAGCAAAACGCCGTCTCACAAAAAAGAAAAGAAAAACTCACAAACGCCTTGAGCCAAAGATGCGCTTTCTTCAGCCTCTTCCTCCTCTTCCTTCTGAAATAAGAGCCCAGTGGAATTTGGGTCTGACTTCTGAGCTCTCAAATCCAGCATTCCGGCTCCTGAATGTCACCCCCCGCCCCCCTGGCTGGGCTGAGGGGGTGGCTCAGCACGGAGAGCGGGGAGGCTGTGGGCGTGGGTACGTTTGGATAGCACAGGCCGCCCTGACTTGTTAGCGGATGAAGTCTGGTGGGCCTCATGCCATGTTGCTACTGAGGAAGTAAACAGCCTGGGAGTGGCCGGGCGCGGTGGCTCACGCCTGTAATCCCAGCAGTTTGGGAGGCCGAGGCGGGCAGATTACCTGAGGTTGGGAGTTGGAGGCCAGCCTGGCCAACATGGTGAAATCCCGCCTCTACTAAAAATACAAAAATTAGCCAGATGTGGTGGCAGGTGCCTGAAATCCCAGCTACTCGGGAGACTGAGCCAGGAGAAAGGCTTGAACCTGGGAGACGGAGGTTGCAGTGAGCTGAGATCACGCCGCTGCGCTCCATCCAGCCTGGGTGACAGAGCAAGACTCTGCAGGGGTCTCGGGGGCGGGCTGGGGGACCTCCAGCCAGGAGCTGGGCTCTCCGGAATTGAGTGACTTCAT